TTAACATTTTGAAGTGTATACTTTGTCTTTTTTAAATGTATATGATGTTTTTCTGACAAAAATGATTTCACATCATATGTATAATTTTTTACCTTTTTTTTTTTTTTAAACAATATACCAAGGACATTTCTCTATGGTGTTAAATATTTTTCTACATTATTTGTGTTTGCGTAGTACCATCAGTCCCCTGTGTTGTTTTCAATTTTTCACTAATATGAACAAGGCAATAATGAGTATCTTTGTTATTAAATCCTTCACATCCATAAAATCGATCTACCTTTGAAAGCACAGTCACCCAGTTTAAGCCCCTCTCTTCACATTGAGCTAATTAAAGATAAAGAATGATTTGTATTGGAATTCACTAGAACAAAGAAACCAAAATGCCTTTGTGAGGCGGAGAAAGAAGGTATCCAGTGAACATTTTTACAGAGAAATCTCTTTAAGTTTTAAACTTTGAGCTTAAAATAATGTCAGTATTCATTCCAGGTATATTTGTGTTATAAAAATTTTGATAACCAGCCGTTGAAATTAAAGGGATTGTATTGAAAGAATGTGTTATTATTGCTAACTAAGGTGCATTTGTTCTGATCACAAAGCAGCATCTCTTTATTGCTTCCAGTTACCTCCATTTTCTAAAAGAAAAGCATGCTCTTTGCTTGGCCAGACTGCTGCTTAGCATTCTTGATACTTACATTGCTATGGACAGCATTCTTGACGGACGGTCTCTGGGTGTGGGGTCGGGACCATCCACCAAGGAAAAGAGCCCAGGTCTGGGTTTAGAGCCACCCTCCACCTTGCCCCCCAACCATCCTGAATTAAATCATGAACTTCTGGCAAGTCTGCCCTTTGGAAATAAAGAGAATCTCACATGACACACGTGGACTGATATAAAAAGACACTGAAGCCCACGCTGCAGGAGCTACCTAAGGAACAATTCCAGCTGTGGACACCCTCTCTAAATCCCCAAGACAATAAGTGATCAGGGTGTAGAATTAACCGATTGCTCAGCGTAACTCTCCTGTAAAGAGGCATGAAGGTCAATTCTGCCGCCAGAGCAGTAGCGGAATGCCCCTCTGGGACCACTGTGGATAAAATGTAGTACAATAGCAGGGGAGGGGGGGGCAACAAAAGTTTTTAAAGTGAAACTAATTAATATTTGTATGTATTTTGCCTACTGAAACGGGGTGGTTCCGTGCTTACGTTTTTATCACTAGGATTAGGACAGCCCCATGAACAATTGGACCAGGTAATGCTTTGTTGGCGGAAGGGTGGCATCCCAGTTGTGACAATCAAAAATGTCACAAAACTGCTGGACTAATAAGATCATTATCCTGAAATACTGAAAGTCTGCAGACTCGGTTGGGCCAAAAACCACAATGTCATGTACCGTTTTATTTATAGATGAGTGTGGGTGTAAGAAGCGCCAGCCACCTTCAAGCTGTTAGGCTAGACTTAGAGGTTCAGTGTAGACCTGCACTCTGACACCACGTATTCTGTGCAAAAACACGTCTGTGTGTGAGCCGTGCACCTGTCTCACCTGTACCAGTGCACATCACTCCTCTGCCTTCCACGGCATGTCTCCTGTCATAGCAATGAAAGTGTCCATTCTGTCGCTGAATGCACTGATCGAAGCAGCCTATTTGGAAATGTATGTGGAAGGTAAGTATTCAATCAAACAAAGCTGAGCGCGTCCCTGAAGGGATCTTCTAACTCTGCTTTAGGAGATCTCGGGCTATGGCACTGCCCACGTGCTAATACTCTGCCCTCTTAGCTCACTTGACAACAGTCACCCCTAAATAATTTCCACTCTTCTCTGTTCTAAGACTACTTCGACTTCACTTCCTTGGACTCACTCCTCCTCTGGCTGGTTTAGCTAACTTTATGATTCGCTCTTCATAAAGTTAGCGACTCCCCTGCTTTTTAAACCTCTCTTCGGCTTCTGCTAAGCTACCATCTTTTTCTAAAGTCTCCCCGTTGAAAGTTTGCATTTAATAACGGAAGTTGCCAACATCTCGACCTTCTTTCAGATATGACAATGGACGATGTTCGGGAATACGAGAAAAACATGCATGAACAAACCAACATAAAAGTTTGCAATCAGCATTCCTCCACTGTGGATGACATAGAGAGCCATGCCCAAACGAGTGTATGTAGAATTTTTGAAACATGTCGCCCCCTCCTTTACCAACATACACATCAGCCGATCTTTGACATACTGCCAACGCTCGATTCTCAGACTTCCACAAACAGCGTCAGAGGCTGTTGATAAAGAACCTCACTGGGTCTAACTTGGACAGTGTCATGTCACCCCTTCCTTCCAGACATTTCAATTCCTTAAAGCTGATTGACTTTCGGATAGTTTCGGTCATAAACCCAAGAACGTGGAGAGTGGAGACTTTTCGTGGTCCTAATGAACGGCCTGGCCTGTACCAGAAAAGCAAGGGGTAAAATCAGGTGTCAGAGGAAAACTGGAACATCATGCCAGTAACTTTTAAAAACATAGGTAACAGTTATTCATTCAAGGGAAGGCGTCTGGCCCATCTGGTCTTTTAGGTTTTCTTATATTGGTTTTGAAATACTTTCTATGGTTCTTTATAGCTGTTTTGCCCAGTTAGTTCCTCCCTACTGGGTTAAGGTCAAGGTGGGTCTGTGGGTTCTTACACACAGGCTGCGCAGTGAAGGTGTGGTTAGCGGAGACTGTACCAGTCTAGCCTGGGACTTAAGAGAAGCCCCAAGGAGCCTCAAGTATCCCCTGGCACATTGGATATTGAATGCTGACTGTGTGTTGTTTGCCAGCATTTTAAATATATTTATAATTCAGTCATTCATGCTAACGAAGAGCAGATACAGATGACAAAAGAAAAATGTAATCCCTGAGTCATTTATATGTACCTCTGGCCAGAGCTGTGATCTCTTTGGGTGCCAGCTTGAGCCCGCATGCCCCAGAACAATACGTAGGTTAGCGTTTTAAGAAATTGATGATGTTCTAGAAGACGGAGAGGTGGCTATTGTAAATGGATGCTTTGGAATTGTGAAAACCTTTTGGTTGCACTTTGGAAATCTTGAGTTCAGTTTTTAGAGCATGTCTTTGGAATTTGCCCTGCAAGGCTGCTATTGGCTGCCCGTGGCTGTCCTTGAGGTTGAAGTGGCCCGCCCTCCCTCGCCCCACGTTGCATGCGGTGGTCAGATTTGCAGGAGACCCTTCAAGGAGGTTCAGCTCAGGTGCTCCTCTCTCTGAGCAGACCAGTTCAGAGAGGACTTTCCCCTTCCTCTCTCCCTGTTCTAAAGTTAGAGATGCTCCTGAAGGAAACTGTCCTTGAATTTTCATCACTTGTGATTACCTTTTCTTTCAGGAATGTTAGACTTCCCTCCACCCCACCCCAGCTGCTCCCTGAAAGCGACTCACTGTCAGAAAGACTAGACAAAGGGAGCCAGAGGGAAGGGGGAGGCGCCACGCGTCCAAAAGATACAAAGCACAGCGCTTGTCTCCTGGGTCCTCACAGCTTTCAGCGCAGGCTCTTGGCTTGGTTTTCTTTTCATTTTACTGCGACTACTGGTATGAGAAGGTCAATTTACCAGGTAGACGGCGGTACCTAGAGTGGTTCTCCCCACGGGAAAACTCCTGCATTCTCTGGCCACGACTCACAGGCGTTCCCATGACTTCAGCGAAAGATATGCCTCTCCCTTCAAAGTTACACAGAGTGGTTATTTTGAATGCTTACGACATTTCCCTTATTCTGTGGAATGCCGTCACACTGTAGACTATTTATTTTTCCATTGTCTCTCTTCTATATCATAATGAAAAACAGTTGAAATCAAGAGGCTGCTGGCTGCCACAGATACAAACTGCATGGGCGCTCGATAAAACTTAAATCACCAACCCGAGGAGAAACAGATTAGATTGCAATTATGCAAAATTAACATCCATGACCATGGCAATAAGGAAATAGTCTCCTTTGCCATTGAGCCTTCAAAGAAGGGAACTCCTATGAGACTCTGGAAGGGACTGTAATACTGAAAGTCCGTACTTCAGGGAATTTCTGCTCTCTGCTGGATGTATGGAGTAGAGCACTGGATTCCGCCACTTTTTTAGAAAGCCTGATTTTTCCAAGGTGATGTCCATTTATTATGGCAGAAACCCCGGTTCACTGAAATTTGCCTGAGCATCTCCATTTTATTTGGCAGTACCTCTTTTTTTTTTTTTTTTAATGTAGTCTTTTTTCTTTTGTTTTAGCTTAATCGTCTTAGTACTTTTTTTTTGAAGTGATAAGTTTCTAGGTACGATTTTTCTTGTTATATTCTGAATTTTATATTCTATCAAAAGCCATAATTTTATATTTCCTTTGTAAAAACTTTCCCTTTCAGAAAACTTAGTAATTGTCTCCAGGAAATCTGCTTAAGGATTTTGCTTTTTGAAAAATATTTCTAGTTTGCTCATATGTTATTATGTGACTTATATATCAGGGTGGGGCAAAAGTGGGTTTATAGTTGTTTGTACAGAATACAATACAAAAATTAATAAATAATAACACAAGAATAAACTTTTCTCATATGAACAACTGTAAACCTACTTTTGCCACACCCTGGATGCATCATTTTGGGGCCATTAATTATTTTAATTACCTTCCCTTTATAAAAAAGATGGCCAGGTCTAATATTAGTCATACCCACAACGCACACACACATCCCTCCAGTCTGGTTCTGTACCCCTGATATTTTCTTATTCAGAATACATAAAATATTCACTGAAGGGTATTTTGGGAATATTGGGAGTATTTTGGATGGATATTCATAAAGGAATATTATTTCAGATGTTTGCCGTCATAAAAAGGAGAAAGTCAGGGTTTAGCATTTGAATGGTAATTTGGGTTTATGGTCTGGAGAGGCCCCTTTTCTGTAGGGTTCCTATAGGTCCTTTAAGAATAGGCTTAGAGATTCATCCATTTGCGTGTCTTCTAAATAACTGCTCGTTTTTTTTCTTTGTATTTTGTCCTTTGAAGACATGACAATGGATGAAGTCCGAGAATTTGAACGAGCCACTCAGGAAGCCACCAACAAGAAAATTGGCGTTTTCCCACCTGCGATTTCTATCTCGAGCATCCCCCTGCTGCCTTCCTCGGTCCGCAGCGCCCCCTCCAGCGCTCCGTCCACACCTCTGTCCACAGACGCGCCGGAGTTCCTGTCCGTGCCCAAGGATCGGCCCCGGAAAAAGTCTGCCCCAGAAACTCTCACGCTTCCAGACCCCGAGAAAAAAGCCACTCTGAATTTACCTGGCGTACCCGCTTCAGATAGGCCGTGCCGGCCCAAATCAGAGTAACTTCACATGAATATGTTATGGGGTTTTATATTTTCATTTCCGGGGTTGGTTTTTGTTTTGTTTGTTTTTTTTAAAGAATCTTCTACTATAGAAAAAGACTGCTTTGTCATTCAAACATGTTCTTTCGATCTCTGAGTGTGCATGTGGTTGAGTAATTTCACATATATGAGTCCCTACGTATGCCATACAGCATCACAGATGTAACATGTAAAACATGCAAAGGACAAAGGGCACCTTCTGTAGCCACAGCTGGATGCCAGGAAGGAAGCTGTGTTATTGGGCATTTGATGAGGTTGGTATGGACTTCTAGATAAATAAATGAAAACGTTGCACCACTGTGGTACAAGGTGTGAAATAGTGAAGTTCGTTGCCTCCCATCAAACCTGAAATTCTCAAAACTACTCTCAGGTGTAACATACCTAATTGTTAAATTTTGAACTTCTCCTCACCAATACTTGAATACCAGTAGTTACTAAGATTCCTATTTTGGTTAGTCTGACTCAGGATTTGGGGCCTAATTAACACTTTAAAATTTTTTGAAAACTTTATCAACCCGTAGAGGCTCCAAGTGCAATTAATAACTTATTTATACCTTTCACAGAATTTAATAAAGATTCCACTTGTTTCTCTCTTTTAATAACTTTCCCCTACGTGCCCTCGTGGCCTCAGAAATCTTAACAATTACATGGGTGAATGTGACCTTAACTGACAGATTTTGGAAGAGTTGAGTTAGGAACCAAGAGGCCCAGGAGAGGCAAGCATCTTTCTTCTCTACAGGTACCAACCAACAAACCTTAACTTGTCAGCTTCCATTATCCATGAAGATTCTTAAAAATTGCCATTAATTGAGTAGAATTTATTGACTACTTGCCCATTCAGAGAAGGTCAAGGGTAGAATAAGGCGACTGGACTTTAACCTTGTCAAGATGTCTGGTTTGGGAAACCCTAAAAAAGAGAATTGTCTCCCATCTCCCTCCTGGTTTTACTTGTAATAACATCCAGACTTCCTGGAACAGATCGTCTGTCCCCGGACCTTAGAAAAGACTGTCATTCTCTTGCTCTTTACTTGAAATTCAAATATTGGAAATGTCACAGAAATCAAGTAAAGAGAATGAACAGAATTGTTGGCTTATATTTGTAAAGAGGAAAGATAGGCCCAGCCGGTGTGGTATCAACCCATGCACTAAGAGGTCACCGGTTTGATTCCCGGTCAGGGCACATGCCCAAGTTGTGGGCCCAATCCCCAGGGGCAGATGCAGGAGGCTGCCAGTCGATGTTCTCGCTCATCGATGTTTTTATCTCTATCCCTCTCCCTTCCTCTCTCTCTAAAATCAGTAAAGAAAAAAAAAAAAGGAGGAGAGATAGAGATGTCCCTCTGTCTAGCTTTCTTTTCTGCAAGTACCTAATGCAAGATTAGATTCAAGGTTGACAGGAGGCGAGATCATTCACCAAAGTGGCAGAAAAAGAACTCTCCTTGGATCTTAAGAGAAAAAACCTGCCACCTTCGCACCTCACTGCCTTTAAACGCAGAGGAAGGGCAAGCAGAACCTAACATGTACTTCTGTCCTCCGTGAGAGGAAGAGACCAAGGTGATTGGGCAACTCCAAGCCCCAACTAGCCTTCCTCACCATAACCTCCAACCTCAGGAAAGGGACCGTCCCAAACCAGAGTCCAAAGGAAACACAAACCAAGGAGCATACTCTCCTCTCTCCTGGCCTCAGCCAGTGGACCCTGCCTGCTTCTCAGTGCTCGCCACTGCGTTGTCTCTCGAGGTGACCAACTCCCAGGTGCAGGCGCTGGCCCCGTGAGCCCAGCACCAAGTAAGTGTAAATCGTATGTCAGACTGTCAAGATCATTTCTTTATCTACAAGTTGATATTTAGCTCAAAAAAATAAACCCAGAATTCAAGGGAACCCAGTTGCAAATAGCTCAGATCAACAGCGCATCTCTTCCCTGAGAACAATGGCATTATAGTAAGACATCTCTGCATGATATGGTAGCATGACTCTTGCTTGTGGGAAAACTTAATCTTTTATCAAATCCCTTGGACTTCTCGGCGGCTCCCTCGCCGCACAGTAGTACTTCACGAGAATGTTTGGCTTCCGAAAGCAAAGTTCCATTTTCACAAGGCAGTGATTTGGGGTGTATTTGCTTACCGTTTATTTGCAAGCTGAAATCAGGATGGGGCGGGGTCATTTTCTAACAGGACTGATTTATTTTGTGCAGGTTGTTAACACATCTGACACATAGCTTTTCCATTGATACCACTGCTGTTTGTGAAGTGGCTTCTGCTAACAAGGTCAAGAATCCTATATGCTTTAGAAAGCTGGTTTCTCATTTCCTTCCGTGAGCTTTTTCATATCCAGTACAATGCCACCGACATCAAGTACGAACTGCTAAGGATAGTGTGATTTTTAGCCATCAAATGCGTGTGCTCTTAAAGTATGTTCAGTTTTCTGTCTACATGTGGTTCGTGTGCATTTAATAAAGGGGGGGGGGGGTGCGTATATTTCTTCAGCTGCTTTGAATATTTAACCCAGTCATCACAAACATAAATGACTTCAGTATTTTATCTGTCTTAATTTTCAAGTATCATTTCACATTTTCCATACATGCATTTGTTTGTTGTGGGATACAAGCCTGTGGTGATTGTGTACATAGAACATTAATAATTTCTATAAGGATGGAAATGAAATGGCTGCATGATGGAAACTTAGAAGATAAACACAGAAACTTGAATTCATTAAGCATGTTTAGGGGGGAATCTTTAACTCAGTGCCTCTGTCTGCAATGTGGAAACTTTCAACTTGGTTCACCAAAATTGTATTATACACACATATATTTTATATAATACGTATGTGTGTGTGTGTATATACACATACATATATATATGGTATAGCATATAGTGAGTCATACACCACCAGTTTAAGTCTCTGGTAGCCAAATTAAAGTAATAATCCACGAAATAACCCATGTGCACACCATTTCTCATGTTAGTGAAGACCGTGGCCATGACTAAATTTCATTCCTTGGGGTACGTTCCAAATATGAACCACCCTGTGCTTTCCCAGGACAAGAAGGTCTCTGTGTTTTTCCCACATCAACTTTGTCAAAAGTTACCTCTGAAGGCCATTGCATTTTTCTACTTTGGGACTGTAATAAAACAAAGCCAAGAAGACCGTGACATTTTTGGCTACCATCATTATAACAGGCACAACATGCATTTGTTTGTGAACTAATTTATAAACCCTTCTGTTAGTTTTGCATCCGTGTGGGAGGAATGGTTTTCATTTACTTGCAAGTATTTATTAGCTATGATTTAGGTTGTGAAAATCTCTAAGTGCAGTCATAGTTGTACAATGCAGACACTCAAACCCAACAACCCAAAGGTAATTGTGTGGTTTTCTTTCAAGACACTGATAAACAGTGACGTAGAGAGTAGATTCTGACACTTCTTGAGAAATCATTTTCCTATGAAAATTTCAAGGCTAATGCATTTATGTGTATTTTTAAATTCTATTTTCCTTAGTAGCTCTGCATGGCTCAGGGACTACAAGGTCACTAGCTGGTTTAGGTCAATAGGTATTTTACTTTTCAGAAGGGCCACAGTATAATTTACAAATAATGTATAATCAGATAATCCAGTAGACAGGAATCATCTAAATCGTTTTAGTTCCTTTGTGATCGTAGGCTAGGTGACAATCTGCCATCTGAGCCATAATTTTTGAAATTAAAAAAAAAAAAGATCTGTCCAGTGACTTTAACTGGTCATGGATAGACTATTTCAAACAACTCATTCTTGCTCAGACTGAAGCGTTACACAATTGCACAGCATTGGCACCGAGGCAACCCTGGGTTCTTCTGTGTTCTACCTTCAGAACAATCTGTTTGCGTTGGAAATGTAAGTCTTTAAGCTTTTTAGGAGTTAGTGCAGTAAGAGGATGTGAATACGCTGAGAACTTCAGACGCCATTAATTGTAATTTTGTTGTTAAGTTAAATGCTTTAGGCTAAACCTCAGGATGTGGTTATTTAAAACTGAAAGTGTGTCTGTTGAATTGCAAGTCCCCCTTCAGTTTCTATGTATCACCAAGAAGAGGTTCTTCGAGTTGGTGTTCTATCTATGCCACTGCTAGGTTGCTTCAAGTGTCATTTTTAGTGTTTACATTTCAAGCTGGGATCTTGCTTAGGTGAGTGCGTCGATGGACCACTGCCACTACTGAAGGACCAAGGTTCAGAATGTACAGTGTTAGACTCCGCACAGAGCAAACAAGAGGTGACCCTCACACATGCCATCCTTCTGTGTCTTTTTATGGCTGTTTCCTGTTTTTCCCCCAGTTATTTATTATTATTAATAACTTACGTTTTCTTACCTTCTGTTGTAAATAAAGTACAAAGCAATCTTCTTTCCAAGTGTGGCTTCCTCTCTCCGCTAGCCTCAAGGGAACGTTGGCAATTGTATTTGTGGGTTGATGGGAAAGAAGTGATCAAGGTAGAAGGAATAAGCCAATGGCCGGTACTTAGACCCCGTTCTAGGGGACTTGTGTGCAAGGAAGCCTGGCATGCTGATAGTCTTATGGTGCCTTCAGGGCCAGGTCCTGGTAGGGAATGCCTGGGCACCAGCTCTGTCCAACCAAAAATACCCAAGGTGAATCTGCAACCCAGGGGAATATAAACATAGACTCATCCATCTGGGTGCATGGTTCCCCCTTATCAAAGGTAAGACTCAAATCCGAATGGTCACCCAGAAAAACCATCCTGAAGGAATCTGTAGGAACACCACCCCAAAAGAATTCTCTCCTCGTGCATGTGTGTGTGTGTGTGTGTGTGTGTGTGTTCAACTTCATGTAGTTGATCCAGACAAACACTATTGACTTTCTTGCTTAATTATTAGCCCTCTAATATTCTATACTCCTGTAAATTCTCCCTTTTCTATAGCATGCATCCTAGTAGGATATCCCATTTAAGTCCAAACATTTAACTACTCTTCCTGGGAAACTTAAAAACAACTTTGTACTTTGCATTAATATTCGTGCTGTGGTCCCAGCATTGAGGATTCAAGCAAATATGCAACGAAAGAAAGTGGACATGACCTTGTCCTGGCCGGTTTGGCTCAGCGGTTGGAGCGTCCGCCTGCGGTCCGGAGAGACCCGGGTTCGGTTCCCGCTAAGGGCATGTACCTCGGTTGCAGTTTGTCCCCGGCCCTGGTTGGTCGTGCGGGTGGCAGCCACTCGATGTGTCCCTTTCACATCGATGTTTCCCTCTCTCTCTCTCTTCCTCTCTCTCCCTCCCACTCTGTCTGTACAAAAAATGGAAAAATGTCCTCAGGTGAGGATAAAAAAAAAAAAAGAAAGAAAGTGGACATGACCTTAGATCCTAACGAATCAGGCCATTGAGTGCAGCAACATTACAACACCTAGAATTGAGGGGGTAATTATGTTTAAGTAGCAATGATCTGCCCTGGCAGGTTTGGCTCAGGGGTTACAGCATTGGCCCGCGGACCAATGAGTTGCAGGTTCTATTCCAGCCAAGGGCACATACCTGGGTGGCGATTCATCCCCACCCCTGGTTGGGGTCATAAGGGAGGCAGCCACTCGATGTGTCCCTTTCACATAGATATTTCTCTCTTCCTCTCCCTCCCACTCTATCTGAACAAAAATGGAAGAATATCCTCAGGTGAGGATAGGGAAAAAAAAAACAACACCAATGATCTGCATTTAAATCAGACACAAATGGTGGGGTCATTTCCCCTCCTTTAATTTGTAGAAAAGAGATTTGGCCACTGTCCCTCAAGGGTGTTTGAGCGCAGCAACATCTTTTGTGATGTTCTGAATATCTTATTCCAATATAACTTTCCCGCTCCCAAGATATTCGACAAGTAAGATGCTGGCAGTCTTCTACTCATTAGCAACCCTTGAGAATCATTTGTGATCCTACGCGCACAAGTGGTTCTGTGCAGAGCTCTCTGAAAGGAAAAAGGAAAAATTCCTAAACTAGCCTGCTGCTCCGTGTGCGGTCTGCCGCGAACATCGGTCCTCGGTGCTCGAGTGTCGTGCCTCCTCACAGCACAACTTGCAAATTTAGAAATAGTTGCACAAGTCTGAATTTTCCCATTCTCAACTTGCAAAAAGCATCTGTCTCTTTGCATTGTGTTAGAATCTATTAAACACACCCCAGGAAGTGGCTTTTCTTCCTTTGTACCTTCATTCAGTACTTCAGACTTCTGTGGAAGACATCTCATAG